TGTCTGTGTCCCTTTGTATCTTGAAAATGAAAATAAAATAATGACAGGAGTGGCCCCAGCATGATAACCATGATAACCTAGTGGCTAAAGTCTTCACCTTGCATGTACTGGGATCCTATATGGGTGCTGGTTCATGTCCCAGCTGCTCCACTTCCCTTCCAGCTCCCTGCTTGTGACCTGGGAAAGCAGTAGAGGATGGCCCAAAGCCTTGGGACCCTGCACACACATGGGAGGCCTGGAAGAAGCTCCTGGCTCCTAACTTTGGATCAGCTCAGCTCTGGCTGTTGTGGCTACTTGGGGAATGAATCAGTGGATAGAAGATCTTTCTGTCTCTCCCTTTCTCTGTAGATCTGCCTTTCCAATAAAAATAAATAAATCTTTAAAAAGAAAATGATGACAGGAACTAGCACTGGTATAATAAATGTTTGTAAAAAGATGTATTTGTTTACTTGAAAGGAGAAACAGGAAGATACTCTCCAGCTGCTGCTTCATTCCCCAAAAAGGCCACAGCACCCCAGGCTGGGCCATGTTGAGGCCAGCAGCCTGGAATTCCTTCCAGATCTCCCCTGGTGGGCAGCAGGGGCCAAGCACCTGGGCCATCTTCCTCTGCTGTCTCAGGCACATTAGTGGGAACCTGAATCAGAAGTGGAACAGCCAAGCAGACACCCGTGAGAAATGCCAGCATCACACGTGGTAGCTTAACCCACTGCACCACAGTGCTGAACCCTAGAACCGTGTTAACGAGAAAGCAGGGACAAAGTGCCATGACTATAGTGTTGGCCGTGTGGTTGATACAAAACAAGGAGTTCCTGGAGAAACGTCGAGGTTTCCAGTGTTTGTGCACACATGTGTATGTGTGTGTATACACATGTGGGCATACTGCCTGCAGGGGAGCGAGTCCCGTTCTGAGGGCACTCCATGCACTGTGACCTGCAGGCTAGCGGCTCCGCACCTGGCAGGAGACCCGAGGGGCGTGACCCGGGACATCCTTTACTGCCTGGTCTTCGGGGGGCTCTCTGACTCCTGTGGGGCTCACACAAGAACAACTACTGTGAAAACTCTGGATAAGAAAGCATGGCAGGCTGGCACAGCGTTTGCTTGAGGGAGGCAAAGCCAGAGTACAGCACTGCCATCCCCAGTCCTGGCGTCGGATCTGTGGTCTTTGTCCCGACGTTGGGAGACTCGTTAAAATAGTCCCATTGTTCTGGTGTCTGACGGCTGCTGTACCTTCCTGGGGTGGACAGCTGGCCAAATTGGAACACCTTGAGGAGTCAGGAGGGCACAGGCTGCACCGGCTTCCCTAGAGCTGGGCTAGCGCCTGGTGAGAGCCGACTGAGGCGCATGTTTGTGCCTGGCCAGGCCAGCGCTGCCCGGGAGGACTGTGTGTGAGATGTGCTAGCCCAGCAGTAACTCACAAATGCGGAAAACTCTTATTTACGCAGAGCTGGGGCAGCATGTCGCCAGCCTTTTAATTTTATTTATTATTTGAAAAGGTGAATTACAAACAGAGAGAGAAGCTCTGTCCACTGGTTCACTCTCCAAATGGCCACAACAGTCACTTCTGACCCAGGCTGAGGTCAAAGACCCCAGACTGCATCCAGGTCTCCCACACCGATAGCAGGGGGCACGAGCACTGCTTTCCCAGGCGTGTTAGCAGGCAGCTGAATTGGAAGTGGAACAGCCAGGGTTTGAACCGGGGCTGCTGGAGGATGCTGGTATTGTCACAGGTTGATGGCTTTTACTGGCTGCGCCAGCCCCTACCTCTGGTCTCTCGAGGCTGGGTGTGCAGCATCAGGCTGCGTGATGGTGCGTCTGACCCCCTTGACTCCCTGCCCCGGTTAGGCGGTGCCTGGAACTCAGCCTCGCCCGGTGCCCCATCTTTTCCTAGAGGCCCATCTCCACTAGGTGCCGTCCCAGCGGGCAGCTGGACAGAGCCTGCCAAGCTGGGGTTTGTCCGCCATCTCGGAACCCAGCCCCAGTCAGATCCTGCCGTGGCCTGCCTCAGAACATGCTGGGCATACCTGGCCGTCACAGCCAAGGCCAGGCCCTGCCAGGGCAACCTTCCTTCCAGGTTCCACTGACAAACATCTCCATAACAAAAGGGCTTTGTCCTGACTTACTGACATGTAGGCACGCCCCCCTCTGTGACTCCAGGGCCCAGGTCTGTCATGTCTGTGGGGTGCACCTCTCTGGTTGGTGGGCGGAGGGAAGGGAGAGGGTCAGGTGGGTTTCTCTGTGTGTGGTCCCAGTGAGACAGCGTGCCATGGACTGACCGGGACTCTTATCCGTCAGTCCAGGCGGAGCCTGTGGACAAGCTTGGACTTCAGGTTGATGATTGAGGATGTGGAACCTGAGTAAATTCTGATGCATTTATAACTTTATTATTGCTTATTTTGTGTCGTGGAGGGAAAAAAGGAAGATTGGCCACAAGGTCTGTCTTATTTAAGATGCACAGGAACAGGGTCCTAAGCCCCGACCGAGCTGTGGAGTATGGCACTGAGGTGATGTGTCATGTAGAGAAAGGCAGGTTCTGGGCATTAGAGGGTGCCTAGCCGAGTCCCTTCTTCCTGGCCGGCTGGTCAGGAGGAAGAGGCCCAGGGCCCTGCCCTTGACCCTGCGTTACGTCCCTGGCCAGGCTGAGACTGCGATCCCGTCCGTTCGGGTTGCGTGCTCACAGATACGCGCTCTCATCACGTGATTCTTACCTCTCCCCTCATCAGGAGGAGGTGCTCGCGTTTGCGGAGCACCCACAATGTAATAAGTGCTTAGAAAAACGCCCTACACCGTGAGAACCAGTGGTCAGCAGGTGCGCTGCACCAACAGCTCTGGCCCCAGAAGGTGAACAGCTGGTTCAAGGCTGAGTGATTAGCAGTGGAGCCTGGTGTGGGGGTGTGAGGCCTCCATGACCTGGGGGCACTCGGCCTTGCCAGGGTTGTGGGCGGTAGTGAGGGCTGTGGTGACCGTGGATCGCTGCCAGGCTCCTCACTTGCTCTACAGTGCACCGACACGCCCAGCCTTCTGTGCCGTGCCTGGCCCGCCTTCCCACTGCCTCCCTGGGACTGACTGCTGGCTGGGCATGGGAGGTCCAGATAGGAGTGGGGACCCCCTACCCACTTCCTTCTCACGAAGCCATGTCACCCAGTTCCACTCCCCGTGCCATCTAATGTAGATTTCACCACTTTCCTGTCTTGCACCAGGGTTGTTTAAGTACTTCCCAAAAATAATGAGCCACGTGTGGGTGTGTTCCTTACCCAGAATGAATCACTGTGAAAGGGGCCGTGAACCAGCACAAGCACAGTAGCTCACCGGGAGCCCCGTGCTGCCTCCTCTAACTGCTGGGCTCCCGCCAGCGTCCTGCTTCCGAAAGGCCTTCCAGATCTCGAGGTGCTCACAGGGGTCCCCTCCATCGTGGGTCCATCGTCCCCCTCCAGCTTCACCTCACAGAGCTCATGCAATCCGCAGGCAACCCTGGGGCACACCCCGCATGGAGCCTGTGCGCACATGTTCTGAGCGTCAGGAAGTGAAGGGGGAGCAGTCAGGGCAGTGAGAGAAGAAACAGGTTGAGGTGTCTGCAGGAGGAATGCGGAGGGTCCCGGAGCCGGCTCACCCCACCGGGGCTGGGACTGACACTGAGGAGGAATTTACTTCCCATCTCTCCCTTTGATGACTTGGATCCTTGTCTAATGAGCACCTGCCGTAAACTTCCTGCCTTTAAGAGATCACCTGCCTGGGCCCTTCAGCAGGTAGCTGCATGTTCTGGAATTCCTCCCAGACACAACAGGTCCTCCCGAGAAGCTGTGAGCTGCCGCCACCGCCAGGGCTGCCTCCCCCTGTCTCCCCAGGTGGGAACAGCGAGGGCGTCTGTGGGCACTAGAGAGCCCGAGGGAGGAGGGCCCGATGTCAGGATGCTCAGCAGCTGCCTTTGGGAGTCGACAGCCGACAGCCAGGAAGTATGGGAGAGAGACAGGGAGACTGTGCAGCCTGCGCCGCAGGGGCTGGTCCTCAGGGTTGGTCCCCTTCCCCGGAGCCATGGCAAAGTCGCACCCCCGCTGCTATTCGCAGAGCCCCGTCCATGCCCGCCCACCTCCATGCCCTGGCGGTGAGTGCTTCATTCAGCACTGCCGGCCCAGCCTCAGCGTTCCAGTGGCCAACGCCACATTCCTGCCCCTCCCGAGAGGTCAGGGCTAGGTTAGGCTCATGGGAGACAGCGCCACGGAGAAGCAACTGTTGCCGTCTGGGCTATTCTTGTTAGTCAGATAAATAAAGGATTGCAGGCCAGGGCTGCTGAACTGGCTTCAGAGGCGCCAAATTAATTTACAGTCATTTCCTGTCAGTGGTACACACTTCGGCATGATGCATACCCAGGCAAGCCCATTTCTTGCGGAGGTATGAGAAGTGTGTAGTGGTGGTGGTGGTAGTGGGTGTGTGTGTGTGTGTGTGTGTGTGTGTGTGTGTACGTATGTTGCCGTGTACCACTTAGGCTAGTGGAGCCTTTCCTGTGCACCGTCTCCTCCCGTCCTCCGAGGCTTGGTGAGGTTGCCATCACAGCAGCCAGGATCACCTGCCACCAAGTAAAGGGAGAAGGGCAAAAGAGCTGAGCAGTGAGGGGAAGCTTGGCCCAGGAAGTGACGTGTGAGCCGCGTTTGGAAGGATGTGTAAGAACGCAGCAGGAGAGAATGTGGGAATGCTCACGGGCTGCGTCTGGAGCCATGCCGCCTGGGGAGGGCCTTGGTGGCCATGCCATCTCCCAGGAGCCCACCCGTAGTCCTGTGTCTTCTCGTGGCACGTGTATGTGGAGGGTGTCCCGCCCCCGCAGGGCCCAGATGCATCTTCAGCAGACATCTCTGTAAAAGGGAGTATGAGCTTAGCAAACAGGTGGAAGGTTGTGCCCAGCCCATCTCTCACGCAGGCTCCTTGTGTGGTGAGTGTGGACAAGGAGTCAGGTGAGACCTCACCAAGCTGTGGCGGTCTCTCCCCTGACCCCTTGCCATCTCCTGCAGCTCTGCTGTGTGCATGCACCAGCTGCCTCCAGGCCAACTACACGTGTGAGACTGATGGGGCCTGCATGGTCTCCATTTTCAACCTGGACGGGATGGAGCACCACGTGCGCACGTGCATCCCCAAGGTAGAGCTGGTGCCGGCTGGGAAGCCCTTCTACTGCCTGAGCTCCGAAGACCTGCGCAACACCCACTGCTGTTACACAGACCTCTGCAACAGGATCGACCTGCGTGTGCCCAGCGGTGAGTGCCCCAGGCGGACAGGACAGCCACAGGCAATGGTGACAGGTACCAGCGCCAGGTGGGGGTCTCCATGGAAGATGTAGGATGGATAAAGGAAGTGTGGGGACAGGGCGTCAGATGCGATGTGGGCCTAGGACTGGAGGCCATGGCCCTGCGGGGAGGGGAGGCGGGAGAGATACTGACTGCAGAAGGCTGGGTGGGAGGCATGTGCCCATGGGGGCTGGCCTGGTAGTAGGACCCAGACACAGGTGCACACACAGAGTGGGTCGAAGGTTGTGTTCACAACCAGTGAGCCCCGGCCAACCAGAGACCAAAGGACCTGGGCGCCCTGAGCACCAAGAGATCCTTGTGACTTGGGGACAAGTGTGGGGAGGCCAAAGGAAGCCACTGCAACCTGTGTCAGCGTGGGCTTCCCTCTTTCCCTCTCCCTGGACACAGGCCATCTCAAGGAGCCCGAGCACCATTCCATGTGGGGCCCCGTGGAGCTGCTGGGCATCATCGCGGGCCCTGTGTTCCTCCTCTTCCTCATCATCATCGTGGTCTTCCTGGTCATCAACCACCACCAGCGAGTCTACCACAACCGTCAGAGGCTAGACATGGAGGACCCCTCCTGCGAGATGTGTCTCTCCAAGGACAAAACACTGCAGGACCTCGTCTATGACCTCTCCACCTCAGGCTCGGGCTCAGGTACCGCAGGGGCACCTGGCCGCATGGTGTGTTCCATGGGCTCTGGACAGGCGGCCCAGGGGCCCGGGCAGTGAGTCATCCTGCTTGGCAGCTCCCTGCTTGGGAGTCTGACACGTAGTTAAGATAAGATAAGGGGTTCATAGGCAAGTCCTGATCCCTAGGTCAAGTGCACACTGTCCACTGCAGAAACCTCCCAGCGGGCAAAGGGCCCTCAAGCAGAGCAGGAGGTGGAACTGGCTGGCTGGCAGGAGTCCTGGGAGGCAGCCCGACTAATCATTGATCAGGAGCCCCCGCAGGGCAGTCTGAGGACACGAGCAGCAGGCTCTCCTGGCTGCTCTGGTGAATCATTGATTCTGCTGGTTGCCCAAGGGCTTGGGGGCAGAGGCCCGCTTGGAGGTGCTGCCAGGTGCCCGCCCACCCTGTGGTGCACCACCTGGTGGTAGGGACCTGGGCTGTCTGGTTCTTTACCCTCTATGATTTATTTATTTTTGTTGGAAAGGCAGATTTGCAGAGAGAAGGAGAAACAGAGAAAGGTCTTTCATCCACTGGTTCACTCCCCAAAAGGCCACAGTGGCCAGATCTGAGCTGATCCAAAGCCCGAGCCAGAAGCCAGGAGCTTCTTTCAGGTCTCCCATGTGGGTGCAGGGTCCCAAGGTTTTGCGTCATCCTTTGCTGCTTTCCCAGGTCACAAGCAGGGAGCTGGAAGGAAGGTAGAACAGCTGGGACACATATCCAGTATGGATGCCAAAGTTTGCGTCGCCTAAACCAGTTGAGACATTACACCGGCTCTTTTTTTTAAAGATAGATTGATGTGTCTAGCTATCTAGAAGGCAGCGTTTTAGAAGAGAAAAGAGAGAGGGCGCTCTTCCATCCACTGGCTCACTCCCCAAATGATCATAACCACCAGATGTGGGCCAGTCAAAAGCCAGAAGCTTCTTCCTGTCTCCTGCAGGTGGAGGGTCCCAAGGCTTTGGTCCATTCTCCACTGCAGGGAACAGGATGGGAAGTGGAGAAGCCAAGGATACAGGTGACACAGGCAGAGGCTCGGCATGCTATGCCACAGTGCCAACCACAGCCCGTCTTTGATGAGGGAATGGAACAGGAGGGGACCCAGGGGACAGGACCCACGGAAAGGGAATGAAGGTGCTTTGATCTCAGGGTATACCGGGCCTTCTTAGACGAGAACGTGGCCTCTGAGGGGTGTTTTGGGGACTTGAGCTGTGGGGGTCAGCCCCAGGGGCTGCTGGTGCCATCCTGACTGGAGCAGGCAGGGTCTTGCTTGGCATGTCTCCATGTCCTTGCCCTGCAGGGAGGTGATGCCGCCAGGCTGGGCCCATGCTCCCCCCTGCTCTCGGGCCGGCCTCGAGAGCCGTGCCCATCCCGCACCAGTCATTAAGCTCCACAGTAGAGAGCACAGAAGAAATGGAGATATTTAAAAGCTGCGTATTTTTAGAAACAGGGAAATGATATGGCTGGTTCTTCGCTGATACTTGGGGCAGTGGTGAGAACCGCCTGCTTGGCTTCTGGGACCTGACTTGCTGCAAGGTGGAGGGGTTGCTGGGTCACATGGCTGGGGGGCTTTTCAGGGCTTGTTGTCTGGAATACAGGTGGCTGATAACCTGGATCACTGGATACGGTAGTCCTGTTTCCCGGCTCAGCACGCCCAGAGCCTCTGCTAGGCTGCATTTCTGGGGCAGCCAGCCTGGGCTGCTTGGTGGCACATCCTGTCCCCTCTCCTCCAGCCGCCGTGTGGGCCATTCTCAGCCAGCCCGGTCTGAAAGGGCTGTGACTGTGAGGGGCAGTGACTGCTGGGAAGTCTCCCCGTGGATGCGTTTAAAGGTCATGACTGCGAGAGAGATCACACCAGACAAATCCAGGGGTGTATTCAAGAGTCTTTTTAAACCAAGTTTGGCAATAGCAGGGCCCACTAGAAATTAGCCAATGAAGTCACCATGACAATCCATTCTGCATCCTGAATGATTCCTCAGAGGAACAAATGATCATTACCGTGAAACCTGTCCATTAAAGTGAAGACTTGTGTCCCAACTTTCACAGCAACATAAGCTATCCCAAGAGATGTGGAGTGAACAGCCTGGCTTCTCTGCCCATAGTCCCTCACTGCCAGGCCTCACCTCTCCTGGAACTCCCAAAGTACACAAGTCAAAAATACAAAGCATCTTCACATTTGCAGTGACCAGAGGATGAGGGATACAGATATACAGGGCCCATGTTCAGGGGCTGTTGGTCCTTGGAGTTTGTCTGCGGGGAGCCAGGGAGCAAGCAGGTACTGGGGAGGCCCAGGGCCCGAAAAGCACACAGCCAAGAGCAAGCCCATCCCTATCTTGAGAGAGGAGTGGTTCCCCAATGCAGTGCCACCCCCTCTCGGGTTCCAGGGGCTGAGAGGTGAGCATGACTTAACTCAGCCGAGCAGAAAGGACCACTTAGTTGGGGGAGGTGTGGCTTCCAAACTTGTGACCCTGAACTAGCTGTCCACAACCACAACAGTGACGAGCGAGGGGGCCTTTGAGGGGAGGTAGGAAGACGGAACACTCCAGGTCAAGGAAAGCCACCTAAGTATAGGACAGAAGGGCAGGCAGAAGCAAGGTTTGTTTAAGGAACTTGGAATGAGGAGGTGGCTGGCACTGCTGCAGGGGGCAGGGAAGGACCCGAGGCAGAAATTGACAGGCTGCATGGGCCAGGGCCCCACATCCTGCTGGGAAGGCTGGGTTGTATGTAGCCCTATGGCCTGGAGCAGGGGCTCTGGGGGACAGAAGGGTCGGAGTGGGACAGGAGCGCTGGGGATGGGAGAGGCGAGGCGGGATGGGGCTGCGGGGATGGGAGAGGCGAGGTGGGACAGGGAGCTGGGGATGGGAGAGGCGAGGTGGGACAGGAGCGCTGGGGATGGGAGAGGCGAGGCGGGATGGGGCGTTGGGGATGGGAGAGGGGAGGTGGGACAGGGCGCTGAGGATGGGAGAGGTGAGGTGGGAGGTGGGACAGGGTGCTGGGGATGGGAGAGGTGAGGTGGGAGGTGGGATAGGGTGCTGGGGATGGGAGAGGTGAGGTGGGAGGTGGGACAGGGTGCTGGGGATGGGAGAGGTGAGGTGGGAGGTGGGACAGGGCGCTGAGGATGGGAGAGGGGAGGTGGGACAGGGCGCTGAGGATGGGAGAGGTGAGGTGGGAGGTGGGACAGGGTGCTGGGGATGGGAGAGGCGAGGTGGGATGGGGCGTTGAGGATGGGAGAGGTGAGGTGGGAGGTGGGACAGGGTGCTGGGGATGGGAGAGGTGAGGTGGGAGGTGGGATAGGGTGCTGGGGATGGGAGAGGTGAGGTGGGAGGTGGGACAGGGTGCTGGGGATGGGAGAGGTGAGGTGGGAGGTGGGACAGGGCGCTGAGGATGGGAGAGGAGGTGGGACAGGGTGCTGGGGATGGGAGAGGTGAGGTGGGAGGTGGGACAGGGCGCTGAGGATGGGAGAGGAGGTGGGACAGGGTGCTGGGGATGGGAGAGGTGAGGTGGGAGGTGGGACAGGGCGCTGGGGATGGGAGAGGTGAGGTGGGACAGGGTGCTGGGGATGGGAGAGGCGAGGTGGGATGGGGTGCTGGGGATGGAAGAGGGGAGGTGGGAGGTGGGACAGGGTGCTGGGGATGGGAGAGGTGAGGTGGGACAGGGTGCTGGGGATGGGAGAGGTGAGGTGGGAGGTGGGACAGGGCGCTGAGGATGGGAGAGGAGGTGGGACAGGGTGCTGGGGATGGGAGAGGCGAGGTGGGATGGGGTGCTGAGGATGGAAGAGGTGAGGTGGGAGGTGGGATAGGGTGCTGGGGATGGGAGAGGTGAGGTGGGAGGTGGGACAGGGTGCTGAGGATGGGAGAGGTGAGGTGGGAGGTGGGATAGGGTGCTGGGGATGGGAGATGTGAGGTGGGAGGTGGGACAGGGTGCTGGGGATGGGAGAGGTGAGGTGGGAGGTGGGACAGGGTGCTGGGGATGGGAGAGGTGAGGTATAGTTGGAGAAGCGCCTGGTGGGTCCCTGCTGTGCTGGTCAGAGTGTTCAATGAGGCGCCCATTGTGGCACCACAGCTTGAACTGCTGCTCGGACACCCGGCTCCCACAGCCAAGGGTCGCCTTCGGCTCCTGCCTGCACCTCCATTCCAGTCCACCTTCCTGCCAACCTGCCTGGGAAGGCAGTGGACGGTGGCCCAAGTGCTGAGTCTCTGGCAGCCTCATGGGAAACACGGGTGGAGTTCCTGGCTCCTGGCATCTGGCTGCTCTAGCCTCACTGGCTGCAGGCATCTGGGGGGTAAACCAGCAGATAGAAAAGCCTCTGTCTCCTGCTCTATCTTTCTGCCATTTAAAGAAATAAGAATGAATGAATAAACATTTTATTTTTAAATATTCATTTTTATTGGAAAGACAGATTTACAGAGAGGAGAGATAGAGAAAGATCCTACCTCTGCTGCTTCACTCCCCAAATGACTGCCACAGCAGGAGCTGAGCTGATCCAAAGCCAGGAGCCAGGAGCTTCTTCTGGGTCCCCCCTGTGGGTGCAGGGTCCCAAGGCCCTGGGCTATCCTTTTCTGCTTTCCCAGGCCACAAGCAGGGAGCAGGATGAGAAGTGGAGCAGGTGGGACATGACTAGTTTCCATATGGGATCCTGACACTTTGCAAGGAGAGGACTAGCCACTTGAGCCGCTGCATCAGCCCTACATGTTCTTGTTTTGTTTTTTAAAGGATTAGATGATTAGTGTTGGTATAGCAGGTTAGGCCACTGCCTGAAATGCTGGCACAAGAACACTGGTTCGAGTCCCAACTGCTCTGCTTCTGATCCAATTCCATGTCATGGTGCCTGGCAAAGCAGCAGCAGATGGCCCACGTGCTTAGGACCCCTACTACCCACGTGGGCCACCCACACGGAGTTCCTCACTCCTGACACTGGCCGGGCCAAGCCCCACACCTTGTGGTTGTTGGAGGAGTAAATCCCAAGGTGGAAGATACCTTTCTTTCTCTCTGTGTAATTCTGCCTTTTAAATAACTCTGTGTGTGTTTATGAAAGCGTGGCGTGTGGAGTCCTGTCCTGCTGCTTCCTGCCTCCTGGGGCGTGGGTGAGCTGCACAGCTGCCCCCTTGCAGCCTGAGGTTTCTCTGTAAAATGGGGATGGCAGTGCTTGCTTGCACATGTGAGAAGGTGGGGTGATTGGGTAGAGCCAGGGGTACGGTCAGCACAACAGTGAACGGAGGCCCACGGCAGCACACTTGGGGTTCTGATCCGGCGGGGAGTGGGGCTGAGTGGGGCTGAGATGAAGGGGGACTGGTCGGAGAGTACGCCTGTGCCTGCCCCAGAGGCTGCACAGCACCGCCCCCTGGTGGCCCGTGGGTGGCTGTCATCCTCTCCGCCCTCTTCCCTGTCCCTGTGGCTGCAGCACCAGCAGCCAAAGCCATCATGGCAAAATCCTGACTTGCTGGGGGGACACGTGACTTAGGCCAGCGGCTGCGAGTGGATCGCCACACCTGGCACATGTGTAATGCTTCGTCTCTCTCTCTCTGCCTTCTCTGGTCCACAGGGTTACCCCTTTTTGTCCAGCGCACAGTGGCTCGAACCATTGTCTTGCAGGAGATTATCGGCAAGGGCCGGTTTGGGGAAGTGTGGCGCGGCCGCTGGCGGGGCGGCGACGTGGCCGTGAAGATCTTCTCTTCCCGTGAGGAGCGCTCGTGGTTCCGGGAGGCAGAGATCTACCAAACGGTCATGCTGCGCCACGAGAACATCCTGGGCTTCATTGCCGCCGACAACAAGGGTGAGGCTGGCCGCCGGAGCGTCAGCGCGGGGCCGGGGCCCTCCCGGCAGCCCGGCTTGTCAGGACCAAAGGGCAGTTAGTTACTGACCAGCTCGCCTGACCTGCTCCCCTCCTCCTCCTCCGAAGTCAGAGCCAGAGCCAGTGAGCATCTCTCTGCTGGTTCACTCTCAGGGCCCAGGGCCAGGCCAGCCGGAAACCAGAAGGAGCTTCTTCCAGGTCTCCCCCAGGAGTGTGGGGTCCCAAGCACCGGGGTCCCTCCTCCTCTGCTTTCCCAGGCGTCTTAACAGGGAGAGGGCTGGGGAGTGGAGCAGCCAGGATTCCCCACTTGCATTGTCGTACGGGACACCTGCCTCCCAGTCGGTGGCTCAGCCACTCCGCTGTGACGCCAGCCTGTTTCTCTCCCTTGACCCACTTCCCAGCCCTATCTCCAGCGTGCTCCGTGCAGGGGCCCCAGGAAGTTTACTTTAGAAATTGTCACAGGGAGGAACTGTGGCCCCACCCCTGCTGAGAAGGGTCACAGCAGAGAGCCACATGATGCCTGCCCTGTGACGGAACCCGCGGCCAGGACACTTCCCTAGTGCTGCACACAGCAGGAGGAAGCCGCATCTGTCCCTGGCTGTCGCCTGTGTTCGCTTTTGAGGGTCTGGCATGCACCCAGGCACTGCCCTGGGTCTGAGGGCCTTGCTGGGTGGCAGGGGCCGAACCCAGGCCGAGTCAGACTGATTGGCAGAGGTGGCGGGAGCAGCTCAGGAAGGAAGGAAGGGTGGCGGGGCATTGCCAGAGCTCACAGGTGACGCTTGGGGCTCCAGGAGGACTGGGGGCAGCTGCAGCCCTGCCAAGGAGAGCTAGCCAGGTGGGGCCTTGTGTAGAGGTTGGCTATTCAGGTTTAATTCATGACTCCAGCAGTGTTCACTGACTGCAGGGGTGTCGGGCACTCTGCCAGCTGCTCAGGTCACAACACACACGAACAAGATACGGTCCACGGTCCCTGCCCTTGCCGGGGGCCCCAGGACCCGAGCAAGCCATGTGTGCAGCTGGAGGAATCAGCCTGTGCAGTACAGCCAGGGCCCGAGGGGGGCGGGGTCCGACCCCTTGACACACTCTCCTGGCCATTTCCAGCCCCGTTTGTGACCCAGCACAGCCAGACTAAGATGCTAGCTCCCAGCGTTTCTTTTCTCCCCTGGGCCACCTGGCTGCCCATGTCTCTGGGCAGTTAGCTCGGGGAATACAGCAGGGCAGGGCTTTCCCTGTTTGTTCTTTTTGTTTTGGGACGGGGTGGCCTGCAGCATGCTGTGCCAGCCTCCGGGACCTCTGAGGGCGTCGGGCCAGCAAGGGTGGCTCAGCCCTGCACACCTGGGCCTCGGGCTGTGTTGGGGAGCAGAGGCCGTCAGGCACAGGTCAGGACTCCTCGCGCCTCAGATGTGGCCTAGCCATGAATATGTCCCCTCCTGCCCACCCGAGACCAGCAGCAGCCCGTGAGGGTGACATGGGCACGTGGGCATCAGGGGGTGTGCAGAGGAGCTGGGTGTGCGGATATCTGGCCTTGGTCCAGAACGAGCCCTTCACTGTGCCATGAGCCTCTGTGACGCACGCGTGTCCTCTGCAGACAACGGCACGTGGACGCAGCTGTGGCTGGTTTCTGACTATCACGAGCACGGCTCGCTGTTTGATTACCTGAACCGCTACACGGTGACCATCGAGGGGATGATCAAGCTGGCCCTGTCCGCCGCCAGCGGGCTGGCACACCTGCACATGGAGATCGTGGGGACCCAAGGTGAGAACACGCAGCCAGGACGTGGCACCTTTAGGTGTCTCTCACACCCCCTTCCCCAGCGAGGGCACATGGAGAGAAGGGAACCGAAGGGTAAAGCCATGTAGTTGGAACCCCGTGGTGCTGTGCACCCCATTGAGTGGTTGATGATGCCAGCTACAAGGGCCTTCCCGACCTGCAAGCCTTCAGGTCCCGTCTCACCGTGTGACTCCTGCAGGATCGGCCGGGTGGGCGTGGGGTCCTGATCTCGTCAGAGAGGAGGGGGCAGGCCAAGGGCACCCCTGGTGGGGACCTGGTTGACCAACGTGACTGCTTCTGCCAGCGATGATGGGGAGCCAGGCCCAGAAACTGGGTCCAGTTGCTAGCCCGTGCGTGATGACAGCATCCTCACCACCTGGGAACAAGCCTGCACCACAGCTTCCCTCCTCCAGGAAGGAGGCTGGCAGTAGTGGCGGGTCCTAACAGCCACACTCGCGTCCTGAGGCTGTGACCTCCCCACTGAATGGGTGGCTCCTCATTGCATCCCTGTCCTTCTGAGCTCACGGCCAGGCCCAGGCACCAGTGGGTGACCAGGCCACGACTCGAAGCTGCGTGGGGTCTGCCGTCTGTCTTGATCAATCCTCGCCTTTGTTCTCTCGCCAGGGAAGCCTGGGATTGCCCATCGAGACCTAAAGTCAAAGAATATCCTGGTCAAGAAGAACGGCATGTGCGCCATCGCAGACCTGGGCCTGGCCGTGCGCCACGATGCAGTCACCGACACCATTGACATCGCCCCCAACCAGAGGGTGGGGACCAAGCGGTAGGAGGCCCAAGGGACCCACCGCATGGCTGTTGGGGTGGGGATGGGCAGATCTGAGGGTGGAGAGCCTGCAGCCGGATGTGGAGGTGGGGCAGGCTCCGCCAGGCTTGGCCAGGGGCCTCCGAGGACTCGGAGAGCAGGTTTGCCAAGCTAGAGCAGAGCCTAGGATGGAAGCACAGCACGTTCAGAGACGTAAAAAGCAAGGAGCTGCAGAGGGGACTGGGACGGCCTTGGAGAAGCAGGGTAGTTGATGCATCCCCCACATGCCCCAAACAACCAGCGCCAGGCCAGGCTGCAGGTCTCCTTCGTGGGTGGCACAGTTCTGGCCACCTGAGTCATGGCTCTTGTCTCCCAAGGCGTGCGTGCATCAGCAGGAAGCTGGAATTAGAGTTTGAGCTGGCAAGGCAGCCCAGGCATGCCAGGGTGGGATGTGGCCGTCTTGATCAGCAGCTTGGCTGCTGGGCCAAGTGCCTGGCCCAAGCCAACACATCTTGACATTTAAGATAACAGAGATACCCAGCGGCTGGGGCCGGGCACCAGTGCTGGCATCGCCACACAGGACACTGTCAACACGGCATTCGAGCACCTGGGCCTTGCTAACGTGCCTGCAAGGAGGTGCTGGCAATGGCTTGAGCTGTTGAGTCCATGCCACTCACGTGGGAGACCCAAGTTGGTCTCCAGCCTCCTGACATCAGCCTGGCTGCTGTGGGTGCTGGGGGATGAATCAGCAGCACAAGCCAGAGATACAGCTAGGACGAGCCAGGGGTCCTCACGGAGGTTGCATGGAGGAGAAGTGTTCAGCCGCGATGCGTGGGGGGCTGACATCCCGGGGGCCCCACAGTCTGCTCTGGAGAGGTGCTCGATGCCACTTCGTTTGCTGTGCAGGTACATGGCTCCAGAGGTCCTGGATGAAACCATCAACATGAAGCACTTCGACTCCTTCAAGTGTGCCGACATCTACGCCCTGGGCCTGGTGTACTGGGAGATCGCCCGGAGGTGCAACTCCGGAGGTGAGCCTCCACATGCGTGTTTCTGTACACGTCATTGCTGCCCTGCAGTGTGTCCTGAAATACGGTATTGTGATAACTCAACGTTTCTTTTGTTGTTTTAAGATTGCTTTAGCTGCTCAGGGTGCCTTATGTTTTCTTATGAATTTTAGCATCTTTTTTTTTTCCCCCAGTTCTAAGAAGAATATTGTTGGAATTTCGCTGAGCTTGCATTGAACTTGTAAATTTCTTTGGGTGATATGGACATGTTGATGGGTGTGATTCTTCTGATCCCCCATGCATGGAAGATTGTTCCATTTGTTTCTTTTATTCCTCTCTTTGGTGTTTTGTGATTTTCACTGTGGGTTGCTCACATCCTTATTCGAAGGCACCCAGCATCTGTGTGTAGCTGTTGTAGAAGGGGGAGTTTCCTCCCTGTGAATTAGTTTGAATATTTTGAAGAGAAGTGGCATTCAGCGGTGGCTCCAGCTGGTCCTGGGCTCTTCCTTGCTGGAAGGTTCCTTATTACTGAGTCAGCTCTTGCCTAGTCTTTATGACCAGGTTAGTTTATCCATGTGCAGGAATCTGGCTCTTCTTGATTTTTGAAATTTTGGGTTGTTTTGTTTTTTTTTTTTTTCTGGATTCTCTAACTTGTTTGCATACATCTATTTTTAGTAATCACTGATTTTTTTTAAAAATTTGCAACAGATGTACCCTCTCGTTTTCATTTCTAATTCTGTGAGTTTTTGTGGTCAGACAGGATACCTGTCTTGATTTCAGTTTCTTGGTCATTTGTTGACTTGCTTATGGCCCGGCCTGGGGTCATTCCCGGAGAATGTCCCACGTGGTCAGGATGAAACACGTGTGTATGCTGTGGAGAGATAAAACATTCTGCATTCATACATAATGTAGATTAGCTCTGTTGTTTCCTGTCTAGATAATCTGTCCCCCATTACTGCTGTGTTTGAACCTGGGGTCTCCCTTTGGCTCCATTAAAAATCGTTTTAAGTGACTGGCACTGTGACTCATCAGGCTAATCCTCCACCTTCAAGCGCCAGCATCGCAAATGAGCACCAATTCATGTCCCGGCTGCTCCATTTCCCATCCGGCTCGCTGCTTGTGGCCCGGGAAAGCAGCAGAGGATGGCCCGAAGCTTTGGGACCCTGCACCCACGTGGGAGCCCTGCAGGAGGCTTCTGGCTCTGGATAGGCTCAGCTCTGGCTGATACGGCCATTTGGGGAGTGAGCCAGTGGATTGAAGATCTTCTTTTCCTTTTCTCTGTAAATCTGCCTTTCCAGGAAGGGGGAAAAAAAGTGAATCTTTAACAAAAATTGTTTTCAGCGATCGCCTGTGACAGTGTTGTCTGCGTAGGCACCGGTTCAAATCCTGGCTGCTCCACTTGTGATCCAGCGCCCTGTGAAGGCTCCGGGAACAGTGGAGGATAGCCTAGTGTGTGGGCCCTCGCAGCGCGCATGGGAGACCCGGAGGAAGCCCTTGGCTCTGGACTTCGACCTAGCTGGCCAGGCTGGTACAGCTGTTTGTGGAGTGAACCAGCAGATGGACTCTCTCTTTCCTTTTTTCTTCTCTCTCTCTAGCTCTGCCTTTCCAATAAATAAACTGGAAAGGCAGATTTACAGAGACAAGGAGAGACAGAGAGGAAGATCTTCCCTCTGCTGCTTTACTCCCCAAGTGGCTGCAATGCACAGAGCTGAGCCAATCCAGAGCCAGGAGCCAGGAGGTTCTTCTGGGTCTCCCAGGCCACAAGCAGAGAGCTGGGTGGGAAGTGGAGCAGCGCTCATATGGGATCCCAGTATGTACAAGACGAGGACTTTAGCCATGAGGCTACTGCGCCAGTCCTTCAAGTAAATAAACTACCCCGTTATGTTTGTACCCAGATTTCCGTTTCAAGAGGAAAAGCAGGAGAAGTGCATGGCTGGCTGTTATTTTTCACAATCCTGAGCTCATTTCCTAGCATCCTGCGAAGGTGACAGGTTGCTCTTTTTAGAATCATTGTGAAGTGGTGGGTTTGGAACTATCTGTCACTGTCAGGGTTCTTAGTGTTCCTGCTGCTTCAGGTTCTCAGCTGTCACACAGGGGGTTTGTCTTCCCGCGGCGCCCTTTGATGTGATGCTCTGTCCGTGTCGAGTTCTTGGATTGTGGTTATTCGAGAGGCACACGGCTTCCTTCTCTGACCCCTCCCCAGCTGCCCCCAGGCCCGGGGCTGGAGCCAGGTTCACCCACATGGGTGGCAGGAACCCGCTGCCTCGAGCTGTCACCTTCTGACTCCTGGGGTCAGCACCCAGGCGCTCCCTCCCGTGCCCTGACTGCCAGGCTCACCTCCTGCATGCCCAGGCTCTCTCCCCCGTGCCCTGACTACCAGGCTCACCTCCTGCGTGCCCAGGCTCTCCCTCGCGTGCCCTGACTGCCAGGCTCACTGCCTGCGTGCCCAGGAAGCCTTGGTACCTTCCTTGCTGTTTTGGCTGGTATCAGAAAGATGTTGTCAGTCTTTTTTCTTTTTATGATTTATTGTATTTATTTGAAAAGCAGAGTCACCGAGGTAGATTTTCATCTGCCGGAGCTCCATCAAGTCTGGAAAGGGGGCACGTAGCACTTGGGCCGTCGTCCGCTGCCTCTCCCAGGGAGCTGGATTGGAAGTGGCACAGCTGGGGCTTGACTGCGGTCAGGGCCCCCCCATTGCTCAGGGTCCCCCCGGAGCCGGCCCGCTTCCCAGAGAGCCCACGTTCGTGTTGGACAGAGGTGGTTCTCGCGGTGGAGGTGGCTCTTGAGCAGGCCCTGTCCCTGTTGATAACTCAGGCCCAAGTCCGCTCTCCCCCCAGGAGTCCACGAAGAGTATCAGCTGCCCTACTACGACCTGGTGCCCTCGGACCCCTCCATCGAGGAGATGCGGAAGGTCGTCTGCGACCAGAAGCTGCGTCCCAACGTCCCTAACTGGTGGCAGAGTCACGAGGTAAGGAGCCTCCCCTGCCTCCGGCCGCTTCCCCCTGTCGCCCGCTTTCTGTCCCTCAGGAAGATGGTCGCTCCACAGTGGAGCCGGCCTTGGAGACAGTGTCAGTTTATGCCCACGGGTGGCACAACCCCTCGTCTACATGCCCAGAGGCCAGTGCCGTATGTGGTGGCTGAGGGGACACTACCGAGCCAGGCAGAACGTCAGCTCCCTAATGGCAGGATGAAAAATGATCGAAACCCCGTAGGACCTGGACCCCCAAGACTCCTCCCAGGCACATAGAGATGCTCAGAGCTCGGAACTCAAGCACCCGTGTCACGGGCATGTTGGGCAGAGATGCCGTCCCTGGCCTCACACACTCTAGGGACCCTGCAAGGGAATGGTCCCTGCCAGGGCAGTGGTCAGCCACAGGCAGGGCAGGCCTGAAGCTGTTAGAGCTGTCGTCCTGAGCAAGTGGCCAGAACCACACCAGGGAAGAGCAGGAGGAACTAGCGAAGAGGCTGCGGAGAACGTGGAGAGACGGCAGACAGAAGAGGGTGGGGACAGCACTGGTGGGACATCACTGGCACGGGAGCAAGTTGGTGACTCCGCTGTGGGGTTCCAGGCTGTGTCACAGGGTTTCCTGGCCCTGGGCACACAGGCCTCTGTGTGGCTGGCAGCTCTGCCTTTCTCCCAAAGTTAACTGCTATGCAAACTGCACCAGATAATCACTGCAGTGTCCGGCATGCTGACAATGTGAATGATGACCACAGCTGCTCCGCCCCTGGGGAACTCTTTGCCTGTGGTGACAGTGTCCAGCTAAGTATGCAAAGGGAAGTGAGGTTAACTGTGGCTGCCACGCCGCCATGCTGTTCAAAGCAGTCACCACTAGAGGGCGTGTGCACCTCGGACAAGCTCACTCACTAGCAGGTGCCCTGGTTACATAAGCGAGCGGGCTTATGACAGCAAGCTGTCACCTGCACAGCCTGCCTGACCAGGGGGCGACGGGAGAGCCTGCACAGCAGCTGGGCAACAGGGCCAGGTCTGGCCAGCTCTGGGGACGTGCTGCACTGAGGGCCTGTGTGTCTCCTGCAGGCGCTGCGGGTGATGGGCAAGATGATGCGGGAGTGTTGGTATGCCAACGGTGCAGCCCGCCTCACCGCCCTGCGCATCAAGAAGACCCTGTCTCAGCTCAGCGTACAGGAAGACGTGAAGATCTAGGCGTGCTCCTGTTCCCCATGTAGCCCCCCGGGCAGCGAGAACTACAGCTGCCATGTCGAGCGTCTGACGGAGGCCTACCTCTCGTTTCTGCCCAGCCGCCTGCGGCCGGCCGGCAGCCCTGGCCTGCCTGAGGGACAGAGCCCGGGAGCCCCGCTCACTCCCGTGTCGGCTGCGACATGCAGGACGCCTTTGCTATTTACCTCCTAACGGCGCAGAGACTGAGAGCGGATTGGGTGCAGAACTCAGTGCCACGGCCCGAACCGCTCGGGCCGGCTAGCAACCTCCTCTCCCCGCGCCAAAGCCGGTGCCCCTGGCGGGGTGGCCTGGGAGGGGCCATGGGAGCAGGCTTGGGGCCAGGGACCTAGCCACAGCACCCCAAGGTGGCCTAGAGGAGTGGAAGTGCTGCTCCTCTCGCAGGCAGCTCTGAGCCCAAGCAGCTCTCCTCCCTTACAGGAACTTGGGGGGCAGGGGGCTGCCAGTAGAGGCAGAGCCTGCCGCGCGTCTGTCCAGCCGTGTGTGTGCATGCACCGAGGTGCGTCCTCCGTGGTGCCTGGTCTGTGTCACGCCCTTGTGTGTGCGTGTGTGTGTGTGTGTGCGCCTGTCTGTGTGTAGGTACGCACTTCCCTGCCCCAGCTTCCTGCGCCCGCGCAGGCTGGGCTGCTCTCGTCTGCCGTCTCCGTGTGCCCGGGCCTCCGCTCTGCGCCGAGCAGCGCCTGGCCTCCCCGGCACCCAGCCCTTCCCCGACACCCTCCCCCTCCAAGCCCCCAGAGCCATTCTCTCCCCCGCCCCCACCCACGTCAACACAGCTCCCCTCCTCCATTCCAGACTCCTGAACCAAAGCTGGCCCAGTTGTCCATGGCAAGAGAGGCTTTGGGTCAGAATGGGAGGGAGCTGGGTGGGCTGGGCAGGGGTGTCTTGGGTTGGGGTATTGTCAGCAGTGGTGCGGGGCCTGAGCTAGCCCAGGGGTCCGTCCTCAGCAGTACCGAGGCCCCGGATCTGGGGGTTCTGATGGGAAAGCCTCACCCATCAGTCCTGGCCTAGGCTCTGCAATTAGCAGTGTGCGGTGGTTGTGGTGGTGGTGGGTGCAGGAAGGGGAGGGTACCGGCGTGGGGAGGGCAGCCTTGGTCTGCGTGGCTCTGTGCTGCGCCATCTGGTGAGGACATGGCCGGCTGAGCCCACACCAACCCAGGGGCCCACAGTAGGGCAGCAGCCTCTGACAAGCAGAGTGTTGAATGGCGTCCGGAAGCGCAGCTGTGGGTGGTAACTCGCTCAGCGCATCTTAGATATAGAATAACTTTGAAGCCATAACTTTTAACTGGAGTGGTTTTGATTATTTTATTTAATTTTATTTTATTGGGAGGGTCTGGATTTTAGCTTTTTTTTTTTAAATGTTGCTATGTTTTTGTAAAAGGAAAAACCATCTCTGTTTGATGATTACCTCTCGACCTATTTGTTTTGAAAGAAATTCCTTAAAAAACAATCACGGAAAGATATATATATATATATAGTGCAGTCCGCACACATAGCTCAATCACACACTGGAATTGTCTGTCCTCTCACCTGAGCCTGTCCCCCCGCGCAGCAGCGAGAAGACAGTCCTGTGGCCGGGGGGCTCGGCCTGCTCGTGGCCGTGACCGTGGCCAGTTCCACGGGCGCCCAGCTGTGGTGTGCCGGTAGCCAGCCGCTGTGACCCGCAGGCGTCTGCTGAACACGTGTGGCCCGCACGTCTGGCCGGAACGCAGCCACCAGCACCCTGGGCCCAGCCCTGTCCCCAAGGTTCCATGGAAGGACTTGGGTCAAGTCGTGCCACCTGCTTGAGACCAGAAGGTTCCATGGCAGCTTCTAAGAGCCTTCCGAAAGACCACTGAAGTGGGGGTGGGGGTGGGGAGGTCCCCCCAGGTGAGGGCCCCCACCCCCAAGTCCCTGCTCCGCTCTGAGCCCCTTCCTGCCCTAGGGAGGTTCGTTTTTCTGTGTGTAGCCTTAGCGTGTCCCTGCCTCCAGCCCAGCGAGTCTGCCAAAGCCTTCGGAGGAGGGAGAGCCCTCTCCCTGCCCTCGGTTCTGCCCTCCCCCACCCCCGTCTTTCTATTTATTTCCTGATGTATTGCTTTCCTTGCATTAAAGGAGATCTTCCCCCGCCTAACTCTTTGGGCCGATTTACTGGCCATGGACTGACCACCCTGGAGCACCGGGTGGGGAGGGGGCTCCCGCCACCTATCTCCCACTGCCCAGACAGCCCCAGGTGACAGCAAACTCGGACTCCTGACCGTGCCGAGACACAGCCAGCCTCTGGGATCTGCCAACACGCGCCCACCTGTGACTGCAAAGCCGCCGTGGGCTGCTGCCCAGAGGGGCAGGGCCTGTCCATCCTCACCATGGGCGGCTGGCCCCTCTCCCCACCCACAGGGAGGAAGGCTGGGCAGGCTCTGGGAAGTCCCACCGCTGACCACACCAGGCCCGAGGTGGGCAGGAATAAAAGCCGCGTCTGCACCGAGGTGCACCCCCACCCCGCGGGGGCTGCCTGCCCTGTGGATTCTGGGTTCACAGACCAAGCCGGTTCCGGGGGCACCACCGAGTTCCCCCCCCACCCGCAGCACCCCCTCCCCACCCCCGGACGGCACCCTCGGTACTTCTGTTTGTTTTTGTACATTTTATTAGAAAGGACTGTAAAATAGCCACTTAGACACTTTACCTCTTCAGTATGCAAATGTAAATAAATTGTAATATAGGAAATCTTTTGTTTTAATATAAGAATGAGCCTGTCCGGTTTCTGCTGTACATTATTAAAGGTTTTATTCACAGCTGCTCTGGTCCACCTGTCTCACCGTGCGTGCCTGCGCCAAGCGACCATCCAGCCTGTGGGAGGCCAGGCAGGGTGGGCGGCTGGCGAGCTTCCCCGACTCACTGGCCGGAGTCTGGGGTCTGCGCCACTCGCCACAGCTGTCACCTCTGGCAGAAGTGCCTGTCTGACCATCCTGGACCTGCCTGAGCCTGTGAGGCGAGCAGGGCACGCAGGACACTGGCCTTGTCAGCCTCGGTCTGCGAGCGGCAGGTGTTCATTCTAAGGCACCAGGCGCTCTCCCCACAGCTCGGCCGCCTCCTTCCCCACCCCACGTTGAGCATCACACACTCCGGGGTGCTTCAGTGGCTGCCTAGTGGGAGTCTGGCATCCTGGGTGTGGGTGGGCATGTCCGTCCTCTCGAAAGCACAGGAACCAAACCAGCAGCACCTAGTCAGGACCCCAGCGGTCACCCTGTCCACCACTGACCCCTGCAGGACTAGGCGACCTCTGGGTGGCCCATGCGGCCTTCCCGCAGCTCTTGAGCTGTAGCCCACATAAAGAGGTCTTACAATGCATTGGCAGCGGTGACGTCCACTGACCCTGGTAAGGGAATCTGCATGGACCAGCCCTTCACTCCTCCCAGCAGGCACCCGAGGGCCCTCTCCCTGCGCTGCTGTGCCCCCCACTCAGGCGCTACTCTGCCGGCACACACCTAAACATTTTCCAGAGACTATATCCGTCAGGCTGAGTCACATCCAGGTGTCTTCTGCATCCCAGATTTGGGTAGTCAATCCATCCAATTCCAGCCCAGGCCCTTGCTTTCATCCTAGTTCTTGGTAAAACCTGCCCCCTGCCATCGCCTGCCCTGTCCCTGGGTTTATTTTTAGTATTTATTCATCCACTTAGAAAGTGGAAGACAGGGGCCCGGCACAGTAGCCTAGTGGCTAAAGTCCTCACATGCTCCAGGATCCCATATGAGCACTGGTTCGTGTCCCGGCTGCTCCACTTCCCATCCAGCTCCCTGCTTGTGGCCCGGGAAAGCAGTTGAGGATGGCCCAAAGCCTTGGGACCCTGCACCTGTGTGGGAGACCCGGAAGAGGCTCCTGGCTTCGGATTGGCTCAGCTCTGGCCATTGCGGCCACTTGGGAAGTGAATCAACAGACAAAGGATTTTCCTCTCTATCTCTCCTCTATATATATATATCTTGATTTTCCAATAAAAATAAACTTTTTTTAAAAAAATTATTGTTTATAGTTGTTACATGGTTGATCAGGGTGGGAAGGATCAAGGTATAGGGAAAATTGCGTGAACTTGCTGTTTCCAAGTTTGCTATTTCTTGTTTCTGGGGGAAGGGGAGAGACAAAGGGGGGACCCAGACCTGCCTTTCCACACGTCCCAGTACCCAGGGATGAGGAACCGCCACTTCATATCAACCCAGGGTCTCCATGTGTACATATTCCGAGGGTTCTGCGCAAGTGGCTTGGATAGTTCTGAAATGCTGTCAGTTTTACCAATTCAAGGATGAAGCCACCCTCCCCATGTCCATTGGCTGACTTAGTAATCCTCAAGTTTCCATGCACTGAGATTTTGTGCTGCCATTTGACTGGGGTAGCTGACCTGTTCGTTCTGTTCTGCTTCGGCACAAAAGAGCCTCCATACTCTCCTATAGCTGAGACTGGGTCCACTGCTCCGCCTTCTTCACGGAGTACGAACTGTTCTTGCACGCAGGCCAAGAGACCTGGACCAGGCGACCCGAGTCCCACCATATCCCCACACCTGAGGCTCACGCACCCGGCACCCCCCTTGTCAGATATACGGAGAGGAAGATCTTCCATCCACTAATTCACTCCCCAAGGGACCGCAACGGCCGGTGCTTCACTGATCCGAAGCTGAGAGCCAGGAACTTCCTCCGGGTCTCCCACACAGGTGCAAGAACCCAAGGCTTTGGGCCGTCCCTGGCTGCTTTCCCAGGCCACAAGCAAGGAGCTGAATGGGAAGCGGGGCTGCCAGGATTAGAACCGGCACCCGTATATGATCCCGGAACGTGCAAGATAAGGATTTTAGCTGCTACACTATCGAGCCGGGCCCAACAGCCACAATCTTACTGCACAGTCTAGCCTGCTCCCCGTTCCAGCTCCTGCTGGTGGGTGCTGCAGCCTATCCCAGCCCAGTCTGATTGCTGTCCTGGTCCTAATGTGAACTGGCTGGTGTTGCGGCCTGATCTGGCTCCTCCTGTCCCTGTCCTGGTTCTCAGATCTGCCAGTGGATGTACTGAACTCACCCAGACTGGTCTGTCCCCAGGCCTGACCCACATGTGTGTTGATGGGTACTGTAACCTGGCTTGGTCTGGGCTGCTCCTTGCCCTCACTGCAGGACTGCATCCCAATGAAGGAGTTTCCCAAGCTCCTCTGTCAGGTCTCCTCCCAGTGGCAGTTCTCACACACACCAGTGGGTCCTTGGCCCAGGCTGACTTTGTCCATCTCTTGTCCTGGCAAGAACAGTGGCCTTGCTCAACTGGCCACACCCATTCTGGTTCTTGCTGTTGAGTGTTGCAGCCCAGCAATACCTGGTCCGTGCCAGACAGAGCTATCACATGGTTGAGTGGGGAGTCAAGACCTAGCCTGGCCGGTTCTACATCCAACCTGGCTCTCATGGGTACTAGTAGCAGTCAGAG